ACATTGATGTTGTTGATTTTACCAATACTTTTCCTGAGTTGACCTGATATGTTTGGTAATAACAAAACACCACAATAAGCATAATGGACATCCTATTCTTGGAATTTCATTGGTTAAATTTTGTGACAATCAAATCCGAAATATCACACAAAACAAATTTCTGATTTGTTGCGAAAAATTAAAAATAGAAATAGTCATGGCCGATCAGAGATCACAAAAAAACATTCGGCCGGTTCATTAATTTTTAACAGTAATAGTAATAATTTTATATATATAGGACTTGTAGTTTGAAGTTAAAATCAAAATTAAATTGAATTTTAACATCAAATTTTAACAATCAAATCAAATTTTAATTGCCAAAATGAATGCAAATAATGGTCCATGCAAAGTTAGAGGTTGTGATAAAAATGATCCTGATAAATATAAATTTAAGAAATTTACTGAATATGCTAAAAAAAAGGCTATAAGTGCTGATACATTTCGAAATTATAATTACCTTCAAATCAATGATCAAATTTGCTATTCACACTATTTATCAATTGTAGAAGCAGATAGAAATAGAAATAAAAATAAGAAAAGAAAATTAGATGAATTTGGTATTGTTCATATTGAAGATGATGATGGCTGTACAGAATTTGGATTATCTCATTTTTTGGAAAACTCAAATAATAATAGTGAATTAAATTTTGTTCATTGGTCCAATATAAATGTCAAATATTATGATGACAAGGTATCTTTATCTAAAGATAATTTTGATCTTTTAATAAATAAAATAAATGAAATGCAAAAAAAAATAAGAGAATATGAAAAAATTAATATTAGAAATTTAAATCAATTAAAAGAAAAAATTAAATTATTGTCAAAAACTTTGTATAAAAAACAAAGGCAATTGCAATTGGAAATAGAATTAGACCCTAAAAAGTTCCAGAATATGATTGAAGAAAATGAACCACAATTAGAAGGTTTTTTTGATGAATTGGTTGATATTTTTCTTCCATCCAAAATGTCTGATAGTAATATAGAAAATCACAAAAAATCTCTTGTTGGGTTCTGTTATTTACCATCTGGTCTAGGAAATCAACTTAATAATTCTCTTCAATTAGAAATTGGACTTTACTTATATTCATCTGGTACAACTTCTGAAAGTATTGATATAATGTCAAGACTTGGTATTTCAGTGTCCTATAAAACAGTGGAGAGATATAAAAGAAAAATAGCAGATAATCATTTGAAAAAAATATATCAATACTTTGAAGAAAATAAACATAAATTATTTTGTTTCAACATTGATGATTACCATTCAATACATAGTTACCGAAATCCAAATACAACAACACTATCATCTGCACATCATATGGCAACATGTGTTGCTAAAACTATAGAGAATAGTTCTCCTATACCAGCAATAGAAAATAATATATCAATCCATAATCCTGAAAATATAGAAGATCAGAGGATTAATAAATATTTAGTGAATATATATATTGATTCATTAAGTAAAAGTTACAATGCAAAAAAATATAGTTGGCTAATTAATAATTTGATTACCATAAATCAGTTTGATAGAATAGAACTTTTAACGATTCATTCATATGATGATTCCATAGAGCAACATCGTAATGATAGATCAATGATGAATTGTCACTTAGTTAACATAAAAGAATTAAATCTTAAAAATTTAGATGATTATTTAAATGCCATCAAAATGATTACAGAGATTCCTTCGTTAAATGATTACCTTCAAAAGTATATCATACCAATTGCTGCTGATTTTCCAGGCCAGTTATTTATAAGAAAAGCAATAACTTTGCTTCATAAATAAAAAGAAGGTCAAGATATATCACCAGAGATACCTGACATTGTAAATAACTTTGTCCCAATTCTCGGTCCATTACATGTATCATTGAATATGAGAGAACACATTATATTAGTTCATTGGAGTTTTTTTGAAAAAATGTTTAAATCAATTTTTGGACAAAACAAAATATTAGCACAAAGACCCAAACCTTGGAAAATCAATCTGCTTTTAGAACTTGCAAGATCAGCATGGCTAGAAATTGCAGAAGAAATATTTAAAAAATTTGGACCAGTTTGTAAAGATATTGAATATCAAACATTAATAGATCTTTTAGATAATTTAATACCTGCTGCTCTAGATGTATACAGCATAATCTTTCGATCAGGATCTTGTGACCAGTATGTAGACACAATTTTCAGATTATGGACATTTGCTTTAAGATGGGGGAGAAAAAATTATGACAAAATTACATTAGCTTTTCTTTCTGATTATTTTTATTGGAAGGACAACAATCATCCATTTCTTGAAGCAATCCAATCTTACATTGTCAATTTCAATGATTATTATGTCGAAAATTGGCATAGTAGGATTAGGAGAAATACAAGTCCACAACATTCTTCTGATGCTATAATTTCTCAAGCATTCATATTAGAATCACATGACCAGACTTTCTTTAATGCATTCAGAAAATTTAAAAAATATCCTTATAAGGAGTCTACTATAGATTATTTAAAATACAAAACATGTTTGTTTTTAATTGATCATTTTCATCAAATTTTTAAAAATATGGGGAAAAGTAGAAAGATTAAAAAAAATGAATATCAATTGAAACATTAAACCAGAAAGTAAAATTAAAATGCTTACCAGCTGGATATCATACATCTAAACCACCATCTAATAATATATGTGACTATTGCAATCAAAAATTTAAAACATCAGATGAAGAAGAAGGTATAATGTTGATATGTGGTCATGCTTTTCACCATAAATGTTTTGCCGAGAAAAATAGCAGATGTAATTATTGCTTGGAATTTTATAAAAAAAGGAGTTGTGTCTAATGTGAATTCCTATAAACAAAGATTAGAAAAAAATGATAATATTAATAATAATTTATCAGATGATGAAACATTAAATAATGAAAATAATGGCAAATGATGATGATGATGAATATGAAGTGATGGAAGAGCAAATTTCTACAGAGTTTAATAATGCTTTAGAATTAATAAAAACTTGGTAGAATTTAAAAAAAAAAAGTAAATGTCTGAATTGCATTTCAAATATATTAATATTACTCTTATTATGTTATGCACCTTAAAAACTTTGTTTCTCATCTAGTTTTTGATAGGACCAAGATCTGAGGATCTTATTTTGCCCAAACATAAAGAAAAGAATAAACAACTTATCAATATAAAAAAATAATATGCAAGGTGCACCAGTTTTTTTGTAACGATATTCCTCTTTTTTTTTACACTCAAATAATTGAAAATTTCTGTTTCACAATATAAAAAAGATCAACATTCAATTTTGTCACTTTGTGATAAATAGGATGTCCATTATGCTGTCAGAATCATGATTTTAATAACAATCTTTTAGTTATTGATCTAATAATTAATACTTCCTAATACACTGTAATAATAATATTATTATTGCTAATAAAACACATAACATATTTTACCCTAAAAATAATAATCTCTAATTAATAAACCACAAAGGGGAAACCTTTGCTACACCTAGCAAGCAACCAACATTTTAACTATTAAGACACATCTCAAGGGGACGCTTTTGGGATATAATAATTCTCTATAGAACCTAGGGACCCTTTTATCTGAAAAGATAAAAGTTATTTTTATTAATCTTTGACCATAAGTCAGCGGGTAGGCTGTGTGTTGAACTATAAATAACCTATTAATTAGGAAACTCGGATTGCACACTTGCAATATGAAATTACTAATGAAATATTAAGAGCATGGAGGAGAATGATGCAATATGTGGGATGCACAAATATAACACCTTATGATTGGTGAGCATTGACATAAAATATACTATTGGAACATGAAAAATTCCATGTCTTTTTAGAAACTGAATAAGAAAACACCTGGGGTGATTGTTTGCTTATAGATGCTGATATCTCTGATGGTGAAAACTGTAAAATTTCTCCAATATGTGGCAAACATTGTGCTTGTATATATCCAGCATCATCCTGTAACTGGCCACCTAAAGTAAAACAACTTAGTGATACCCTTGATGGTTTTTACCTTTTTTACCTTATGATCCTGGTGTGTTGGTTCTATATGTGCAATGTAAGCCCCCCTAAGCCAGATATTACTTCTTCTATTTTTTCTCCTTCATCCATATCTTTTGATGGCATGAAGATCTAAAAAATTTCTTATTAATAACTATATATATATATATAACACTATGAAAGTGTTTTGTATAGTATTGTAATTTTAAAAAAATTCACCTGTGCATGGTGGGAGTCAACAGTTGATTTTGCTTCTCCAGGTTCAAAAAAATACCAAACATGCACTTCAATTTTATACCATTGATGCCAATTGGCAACTATAATAATTAATTCTGAATTGTGGTAATGAACGCTATAGATGGGCATCTAAATTGTTTTTGAGGTTGTCTAAAGTCAAAATAATATTTAGACAAAAAATGTCTAAATGTCTAAATTAATATAAATAGTAATGATTTGCTTTAAATATAACTAAAGTCACTTGGATACAAAAAAATCCACAAAATTCAGTAAATTATCCAATAAAAATTCAATTTCAACATTTTAGACAATCATGGTCTCAATTGTCTAAATGTCTAAATTAATCTATTAGTCACAGGACATTGCAAATCAAATATAAATTTTACACAAATAAAATTATTATCATCCACTTCAAAAAAAAAATCTCTGTTTTTCATATAGCAAGTGATTTTCAACCATAATAAAATTTTTAGAGCCAGACTAGAACTTTCTAACAACAGTTAAAAGAAAAGGTTAGCTTAAATA